TTGCCCACAGTATGTGCCAAATTCATAGACAAGCTGTATGTATGTCAAGTGCCCGCTCTTGTTCTGTCTTCCTTTTGAAATAATAATAAATATCAATTAGCACAGGTACTTCAGATTCCCTTGGGCTTCTTTTAGTCCCTTAAATAGATTTATTTAAGTTCAACAACCCTAGGCACCTCTAGTCCATAAGCAGTAAAGACACTGATTTTTAATTCATGCTGGTACACCACATAATTAATGTACTTTTCCTCCCAAACCCTTGAGAGCAGTGTCACTGTGTAATACTGGGTTTCACTGAATGATTATGGAACACAGTCAAATTTGGATTACATTTGTGAACTCATCAGTAAATTTTTAGGATTATTTTTGCAACTGCAGAGATTTGAAAGTTTCCTTCAGAGACTTGTGGGATAACATTTGCTATATATAGCGTGGAAAGGAAAATTTAACATAAATTAGATTGTGGAGTTAAAGGAGTATTCTGGTAAATTTCTGAAAACACAAATACTGATTCTTTCTGTACCTTTTAAATTATAGTGTTCTCATCATAGAATCATTAAAGTTGGAACATCAAATCCAAACCATAACCAAACATCACTATAACATGGCCCTAAGTGACACATTGCACATCTTTCAAACATTTCCAGGGATGGTGATTGACCACTTCCCTGACAGCCTGTTCCAATGCCTGACCACCCTTTCAGTGAAAAAACGATTCCCAATATCCTATCTAAACTGTCCCTGGTGCAAGTTGAGACCATTTCCTCTCATCCTGTCACTTGTTCCTTGGGAGAAGAGACCAACCTCTGCCTGGCTACATTCTCCTTTTAGGCAGTTTAGAGCGATAACCCTATCCCTAAACCCTAACCCCTGAGCCTCCTTTTCTCCAGGCTAAACAGCATCAGCTCCCTCAGCCACTCCTCGTAGGACTTGTGCTCCAGACTCTGCCCCAGCCCCACTGCCCTTCTCTGGACACTCTCCAGCACCTCAGTGCCTTGATGTGAGGGGCCCAGAACTGAACACAGGATTCAGGTGCAGCTCCACCAGTGCCAGGTACTGCCCTGGTCCTGCTGGCCACAATATTGCTGATACAGGCGAGGATGCCATTGGCCTTCTTGGCCACCTGGGCACTCTCTGGATCATGTTCAACAGATATTGACCAGCATCTCCTGGTGCTTTTCCACTGAGCAGCTTTCCAGCCACTTTTCCTCCAGCCTGTAGCATTGCATGGAGCTGTTCTGATGCAAACTAAGGACCCAGCACTTGGCCTTGTTGAACCTATCCTTGGCATCCTTCTTTTCTCCTTCTGTATTCCTTGGATACTTACTCTACCCCTTATGTTCAGTACGAAATATTCATTAACAATACAGGCATGTCTTGATAGACTGTCTAAAATCCAAGGTAACAATTTTACCATTCTCATCCTCTGTAATTTCTTAAGTAAATAATTTTCAGCACAACTTTTTGTGAGGAAGGAGTTGGGAAGGAAAAAAGAAGGAAAAAAAACTGAGAGACCCACATTTCTAGATGTTTATGAAATTAAGAATCTGAAAAAATAAAAGATGCTGTATGAAAATCCCCTGAGCTGTGATGCAAACTCTAACCTTAAATTATCAGACATAGTGACTCTACATGGGAGGAAAGGTAAAGCACAGCTGGGGGGGATTTCTGATAGGATAGTATCTTATCAGTTACCAAGGAATCCAGTCTTCCAACAGCAGGTTTCATTAATCCTTACTTTCTCAGAGCCTCTTTCTTCAGTTTGTTGGTTCAGTTGGCAGAAACAGTGAGTTTTGCAACCCTCGTTTCCTTTAATTTCACATAGCAGAGTACTGGTTTTGCAACTTTTTGAAAAATTCAAATTTGTAGAACTGGCAGGACTGCCACAATCTTTAATGCAGGAGTACCTGTTAACGCAATTATTTAGGAAATTCAAATTATATTTCACAGAGTTATTAGCAAATCCACTCCTTCCACAGAGACTGAAGGGGGAAAAAAAGATTTTTTTGAAGTGAATGTTAATTCTTTAACGACTGGTTCAGTGAATAAGTACAAACTGCTGGGCACTGAGCCATTCATTGGAAGGGGAGCTCTTGGGTGATGTCAGTGGAGTTCCATATTTATGCAGTAATGTCTCAAGATAATGCCAATACAAAACAGAATGGTATTTGTTATTTAGGAGGAGACACAGACAGGAAAATTTGGAAGTGTCATAAATGTACGTTTGATAACATTATTTTTGATCAGAATGTTATTAGTAATCCCAAATTGAGCATACAGAAAATGAACATTTAAAAACAAATTCTCTACAAGCATATTTTCCATGGATTTATAGCTTGTTTTGTAGCTGAAACTAAATAAGCTTGAGATTTCCCCTGGTGTTCTCCATTTTTATGGAATGTTTCCAGAGCAGTATAATCTTACAGAAGCATATCCTGTGGAGTGCAGTTTGTACATCCAGGGAATTTCTCATGGTGTACAACCTGGATTATTTTGCAAGTCTTACAGCTCTGCAGCTTGTTCCACCTCAGTCATAGTCTTCTCTAGTTATTCTGGGCCCGATGCACTCATATGCACCTTTCAAAGAAAAAAAGAAAACAACTATTTGGTAGTTTTTTCTATGCTAAAAAATAAATTGATGTCTTCATAGGGGTGGTGATAGCTACGGTGACTTTGGACTGGTCCTACACTAATATGAAATCTAAGCCTGTGATACTGTTGATTGCTTTCATGGTTTGCACTTCCTTTTCTACAAGTCATTTGCAACAGAAAGCATGCACAAATATAAGTGAATTCTGCTTAAAATCTTTTAGTCTCTGATTTGGTGAATGCTATTCAGTGAGTGGGTCAGGTAAGTCTGAAAACTTGTGCTGTTTTCTTATAAAAACTGTCCTCATTGTTTTGCCTCGCCTTTGCAAGTTACATGCTGCATTACTACATGGTTGATATATTTGGCATTGCAGTGTCTGCACCTCGGGCAAAGAACTAATGGTAGACTTCTCACTTGCTTCAGTATTCTTGCAGTGTTTCAATAAGAAAGCAGTTCAGAGGAAGAAATGCATGTGGTCTCGTTCTCTTAAAAGCTTTTGTTATTAAACAGAGGCACTGTGCTATTTTGTGTGTCAGGCAGGCTTTCAGTCAGTGTTGACCCCTTTTCCCTCCCTAGGTAGTGTTGCTATGTTTTGTAGGTTGATTTTTATTTTTTGGTTGTTGGTTTGTTAGAGTTTTTGTTTCTTTGTTGGTTTGATTTTTTAAAGCAGTTTCCTGTATTATAGTGGTTGATCTTAAGAGTAAAATTAGACTGTCAGCCATTTAGTGTTTGGCATGGGACACCAAAGCTTGATAGCAGTGAAGTTCTTTTCAAGTCCGTCAGTCTTGCAATGATACTTGATGTAGTTATATTTAGACTAAATAAAATATGGTATAGAATCCTTTTCTTGGCTTCTCACACACATATGTACACCCTCATACAGCTGACTGAATTTGGGGAGGTGAGGAATGGAATGAAGATGAGGAGTGAATAGGGTTTGTAAAGTTATTCAGAGGTGAGGGTAGAGAAGGATTGTTTTTGATCTTTTTTTTGTATCTATTTTTAAAATAAAAAGTGTTTATAAAAAATAAGGGGGTTTATTTGAAGAGAAAAAGCTGAACCTTTTGCTGCTGTTAATGTTCGTGATGACTTCCGAAGCTGATTCAACATCCAGCCACTGCAATAGGAACTGATTAAAAAGATTTGTCCATTCTATGCGAATGTGAAATTTTGGCTATTTTGGTAATAACAGCTAAAGCTTCTCACTGTAGGCATCTGTGAGTTGCTGCCTGTATAGCCATGTCCTCTGTCTGCAGTGTGCAAAACCAGAGAAATTCCACTTAGTAATGAAGGAAGCATACAACTGGGGGAGCTGCTTTGGTTTAGTAGTTCTGTAGAGGTTTTTTGTTTTTTTTCTTTAAAGTATTCCTCTTGCAAATAGCTTCTCTGATTCCCCTATGACATGGAAACATAAAACATGAGGAAAGCATGGTTGCCTAGCATCTTGCAGGAAACCTTAGACACATACGCATGAAACTACAGTAAAAGCAATGTGATCAGTGAAAGAAAGTGCTCCTCCCCATAGTCTTTGACATTTTATAAGGAAATAGAATTCTACTAGCTTAGATCTGTAGCATATATTGCAGCAGAGAGGCAATTCTTTCTCTTACCAAGATTGAAGTAGCATATTCTATTAACTGTATCTTTGTCAGATCTTGCATTAATGCACATCATCACATTATTCCATAATGACAGGAAAAATAATTTCTAATGAAAAGAAGTTCTGAGTTTATACCCAGCTCACAGAGCACTGCTTTCAAACCTCTGCATTCTAGTTTAGCTATTCTGCTTGCTCTGGTAGCACATCTCCACTCATTTTAGGCGTATTTTGGTAATGCATTTGCATGAGGGAAACTGCCACACCAAAATACATTAGTTGAGCCTGAAGAGGTCTGTATATCATGCCAAAACTCATACTAACAGGAAAGAAAATATACAAAACATAACTGTGTCTTGTGTATGAGCACAAGCTTCTGCACACAAAAGCATTATCAATTTGTACTTTTTTACTCGTTACACTCTGCTTTTTGTAGAAAAGAACTTTGTTCCACCCCCTGCCTACCTCCTACATCTCAGCTAATATTAAAAGCAGAGACAACTCTGTAAAGAAATTATGTTGCTGAGGTCATTGCTTTTATAAAGTACTCACTATCACTTTATGAAGCATGGAAAATGAAGTTGGTTAAAATACTGTTGAATACAGATGGCCTAAAATACACACAATGTTTTTACTTTCCACTCTGTTTCTTCTCTAATTTCTCTAAATTTTGAGGCTGGCTAACCATTAAAAGAAGATGCATTAATCTACTCTTTAATGGGTACTTCTAGTTCTATTCCTAACCATGAAATCATTTGCTTTTCTGGTGGTCTAAGTGGTGGTTTTTGTTTTTCTTTTTTTCCTCCCATCCAGGTACTGCTATGTGGATATTTGTTAGCAATGACTGATGTGGAATCTACATATGCAGACTTTATTGCTTCAGGAAGAACAGGCAGAAGAAATGCATTACATGACATCCTTGTGTCCTCTCCGGGTGGGAACTCTAGTGAACTAGCCTTAAAGTTATCAGAGCTTGATATAAATAAAACAGGTGAGTATGTTTTGGGATTTTATTATATTTATTTAAAACTAAAATGAAAACTAGTACACAAAGCATGGTTTATGTGCCCACATTATTCCCTTGTTTCTCAGCAGAAGAATTTTTTTTTTCTAATCAACATTGGTTGCTTGCAATAAGAATCACAGATTTCATAAATGGAAAGGGTGGTTATTTGCAAGTACAACACATCCCTGAGCTTTACTCAAAAGTTGTCATTCAGTGAGTGCCTAGGCAGGCTCCAAATCAGGCAAAAATTTTATGAAAATTAGAGTATAAGGAAGAAAATAAGGAAGTCTTTATTAAAACCCAAGTCTGCGTAATACTCTTTAATGGATCTCTCTGATTTGAAGCCTGTAGGAGAAGCCTTGTATCTGCTGAAAGGTTGTTGTGAAATTAATTTTTTTTTTCAGCTGCCAAAGGACAGATCAATAGGAATTCATTATTGCTTTTTTACCTGGAACTTTGTTTCTGAGTAAATTGCCTCTTTCTCTTTTCTGATGGTACTTGTCTTTCTTTTAAGGTGATAAGCAGTGATGAAATCCTAAATCTTTAATATTGCCAACATTTTTAAATATTTCTGCATATTCAGTTAAGAGGAGGTAGGGAGAGTGGACCTTACATGAAATAAAAATAGTAATATGACTGGGTATTTATATTTATGTTAGATGAGTAGCAGCTAATGAACAGATCTTACAGATATTAGAAAACCCTTTTCAGATGTTAGGGAAGGCATGGTTTTACTTATTTTAATAGTTGCAGAAGAAAATAAATGCAGCAAAGATGAAACTCTTGATAAGCAGCTGCCCTGTTAATGTACATACTTTTCTCAGAGATGAAGACAGGAGTTCTGAGATGCTGTCTCTTCACAGGACAGGCACATGTGGGCAGCATGGTGTTGAGTGGTTGTAGTGCTGTTTTGAAGGAGGGCTTCTTCTTTTGGCTTCTGGACTAAAGTACATCCTAAGTCATTCCTTTGCCAGTTTATGACCTAGAGATTCTTCTATATGCATGCAATTCTATCTGGGCAGGGCCTTTATTTTATTTATATTTTTAACAAATGCTTTATAAGTATGTTTGTAGCTATGTTGTTTTATTTTAGTGGAGACAGGTGTAAAATGTTGGAAAAATAAAAAGTAGATACAATTTGAATTACATAATGCCAACGTTCAGTCTCAGATTTACACTTATCAAAATAGTCTTTGATCTTGTCCATTTAGAAGATAAAAACAATCCCTATTTTTAAGTTAAACTGTGGAGTTCTTATAAACCAGAATTGTGTTTCAGGAGTTTCTTTAGTTCTTCTTGGTGATCCTTTTTGAAGCCCAGATAACTTAAACAATGCAGAAAAACATACAGAGCTGTTCATAAAATTACCTTATTTAGTAGAAACAGAGAAATGTCTGCATACTTCTTCAGAGGATTATTCAGTTTCCATTAGATAAAATGAAAATAATTGTAAATTCTATTTGATTAGTACAACTAGGGGACAAGTAAAAGCCTCTAGACAAAAAATACTGGAAAAGGTATTGTCTTACCTAGCATTCATGTGAGGATTAGTGTATTATCATGTCATGTCATTCCAAATCAAGAGAGGCTGAAAAATATTTTGCATGTAAAATCCCAGTTCAGAATATATTAATGGTTGTAGGATGCATATGTGCATCACCTCTGACAGGATTAAGAAGAAAACACATTTGGGGGCTATATCTTATTTCTTTCAAGGTGCATGTCAAACAATTTATGCTGAGGACAAGTTAATTATATAAATATAGACATCAAGTTTTGATTATTTCCTTTTATTCATATTACAGCTGCATTTTCTTGGAAAACTGCAAGTGTGTTTGCTTTCAACTGCATGGAGTAATGGCAGAGTAGGTAAATGCAGATGTTAAAGGAAAAAGAAAAGGTGGTTATAAAACATATGTAAATTGAACTACCCAAGCATATTTAGTACATTCACTTTGAAAAGCCTGAAGATACGTTTCCTGTAAAAAAACAGAAGAGTTTTTAACAGCACTAGAGACTTGTTCAAAGACAATGTATTTTTCTGTTACTCAGTAGCTGATACCTGAAGTGAGAGTTGGTTAATCCCCTCATCAATGAGCCAATGACAGATAATCAAGAGTTTACTGCATAATTATGTATAATAAGCATAATTATTGTATGATACTCTCCCTTCAAAACAACTGTCCCAGTTTTCTTTGTCCATAGCAAGATAACAACCCGTTATTATCTGTGGAGTGGATATTTTTACTAAACACCAAAATACAGGTTCCAAGGACTGTGTCAAGACGTTTTATATAAATTAAGTAAAAGCAACATTATGTACATGTGATAGATAAAAAACTGGAAGAGAAATCATAAGACAGAAGCAAAAGAAAGATTTTTAGCAGGGAAATCAGCAGGTAGTTCTGCTCAACACTCTCAGGGTGACCAGTGCAATCCAAGAAGCTTGATCTTGCAGGTTGTAGCTAAATGAAGTAGTGAGGTAAAAGTACAATGGTGAATGAGGACAAGTCTCTGCAGATCTAATCTCTAAACCAAACTGGTGCTTTTCTAGGTGCTATAGAATACAGAAAAGGACATTTCCTTGTAAGAGTTGTAGTGGTCCAAGCTTGTACAAATAATGGGGGTAATAGAGTGTTAAAGACCTACATAACTGGAATGAATAACTGACTTTAGAAATTATTGAGTGAAAGTAATTGATTTTAGTCCATGTAGAAATGTTTTGGGTGTAAGCAGGGGAAATAGTGATAGACACTGTAGAGTCAGTAATGTTACAGGAAGAAAACTGAGTTAAAAGCTGTACATTATCAGCGCTGGTAACTAGCCAGCTGACCTACTCACAAAACTGTATTGTGGCTTAGAGTATTGTATTATTTAGTTTTGTTTCTAACACTACCTGATGGTTTCAAAATGCTGTGTAAAAAGTACAGTTTTGCTCTTGAGAGTCTCTAACCATCAGGTTTTAAAGGAAGAACAGCAATGTGCTTAGCAGTTTTGGGGTTCTCAGAACTACATCGAAAATCTTGTAGCAGTTTGGCATTCTCAGAATAAAAGCAACTTTATCTCTGTAAGTATATTTTAAAGCATTTAGTAGGAGAGCTCTGCCAGTAGAAAGAAAAAGCTGGTAGGAAGATAGTGTTTCATAGACTAAATGGATTTAGATTAGTGATTTTTTTCAGCAAGTTGAGAAGAATCTTTCAGAAAGTGGTATATTAGAACCATAGTGCTCTTTCCCTGAATCTTTGTGCTCTGTGTTTAACACTAACGTAGTGAAATGTTTAGGCTTTTTGTCTAGGAGTGATTTTTCTTTTAAACACAAATATCTTGCAAGAGTGTTTTTGCTTTTCAGTTTTGGGATTTTTTTTCCTGTTCTTTTTGTTAATAAGATTTCCACCAGGAAAGTTTGGCTTGCCCATATAGTAGTAGTCAGAATAAATGGAGGGCAGAGAAGGCAAAAAAGAAATAAACCCCTGAAATTACACTCATTGCATCTTCTGCAGTATCAGAAAAAATGTAGAAGGTTTGGAGAAAGTGTATGGACAACTGGGGCAAAAGAGATTTCTGTCCAATAGTAGATAATCACATGTAGATCCATCCTGATGAAATCCTTTCTAATTTGAGAAGTGAAAGTGAAGAAGAGTTTTCTGAGAAAGTGCCTTGCAAAACAATTGTGTGTTTACTACTCAACCCATAACGAACAGAACAAACCTCACTGTTTAATAGGTAATTGACTTTTCATGAAACTTTTCATCAGGTTGAATGTGATAATTCACAGTATCCTTTGAGGCATTCTCCTGCCTACTCAGTGCATACACAAAACACATCTGTCATGTCTAAGCTGTTTGCAATGTTCTTTGCAAGGCAAAGAACTTTTTTCCCTACCAATGTGCCCTTTCTTCTACACAGAAAAGAGAAGGCGTTTATGATGCTTACTTCTATAAAAAGAAATAAATCTGCAGATGCACCATGTCATCTGAAATGAGGAAACAATAAATATCTGCATTGAGAACCCTGCCTTCATTCTAAAGATCTATCGATTAAAATTAACAGGCACTGCTGCATCTATCTAAACCTCCTTACAGCCTAGGCATGGAATTTTCTTCCCTTAACTTATCAAGTAAAAATTACATTTCAGTACAAATTACTCAGAATCCTTGCAACATACAAGAGACAATGTATGTCTTAACATTATTTGTTGTTATGTATCTATAGCTGATCAGTCCAATGTTCAGGGACTTGTGTCTCGCTTGCACTCACCTTCCTGTTGCTTGAACCTGTGAGGTCTTTAATTGCTATGTAAAATACAATACTTTGCATATAAATAGTAAAAGCATTTGGCAATGCTTTTCTTAGCCTTCTTTAGACAGTCTGTGAGTTGCCTGCTCACTGTGCCTCTGTAGGATGTGATCTGTTCCTCAGGTGGTTCTGTGGTTTGCAGTGAGACAGCTGGACTGGACACTGTGGACATGATGCTCTAAATGGATACACAGAACTAAAGCAGCTTTAACAAACTATTGTTTTTATTGAAGTTGTATCTCTTTGTAGCAGCTTCTGTTCAGATTGGCGCAATGGTGTATTTTTCTCCTATACTGTTATAGCATCATAGCGAAGACATTTTCAAAAATATTCTACTGTTTTTAAATTCATTAATGTTTAAATACCTTTGGTATTTATTTAAGGTGATACTTGTGATTGCAGCTAGGAATTTCCATCTCAAGAGACACTTTCTAAAACAAAGTATAGCTATCTTAGTAAAGAGTTTTTTCAGTTTCAATTTCTTTTTACTTTGTTTTTTAAACTGAAGGATGAACAATCAGGGTTCTCTTTATTTTAGGGTGGATTACTCATCCTTTTTTTCCTATCTTATAGAAGGAGAAGGAGATGCACAACAAAATCCAAGTGAGCAAACCGGGGAGGCCCAAGGGGAGGCAGCAAAGCAAGAAAGCTGACATCCAACTTTGACCGAGTGGAGCAGCTGATGGATGTTTTCAGGCTACAAGAGTGTGCTGGAACAAATTTGTTTCTATGAGCAAGCTGGTAGAAAAGAAAGTGCATGTGTCTTCACTGCTGGAACGCACTCAACACAATGCTAGAAATCTGGGTACAAGCTGTGACAGAAGACAGAATTTTCTCTACCTCTGTCATTAGCAATGGTTGAACGTGTATTGATTTTTTGGGATAGTGTCATCAGATGGATCCCTTCATAATGACTACTCAATGGGAACACTTTTAGAAAGTAGAACAGGTAAATCTTGTAGCAAATGGCCTTTGAAGCATCAGAGGATCTAATTGTGTATCTTAAGCAAAGTCTTGTGTGATCCTCAGAGTTTAAAATTCTCTGGCCAAAGTGTTTGCCCATTATAAGAACTGTAAAGAAAGCACTGTTTTTAGAACTTTGCATCTGTTTTACAGCTCTGTTATTTACAATGGTTTTTGTATTGTACAACTTAGATGCTCCACACTGCCCCTTCTCAACTGCTTATGAAGAATATTTCTGTTACTGTGAATTTTTCTACCACACGTTTTGAAAGGGCTGGTTTTTTGCATAAGGTGGTGATGTGCATATGATAGATCTAAACGTCAACCGCTAAATTGATTATACCTAAACCTAAATGACTCAGCAACAAGCAACACTCTAATTTGTTACTAGATGAGCCTTCAAAACGATTTGTTAATGTGAATACTTGAGCGTGTGTTGTGTCCTTGGTACAGTTCTGCCACTCGCCTGTAGTTAGTTGCATATCAGAGACTCAGATTGGATCTTTTATGTTATTCTTCCCCATTTTTCTAATTTTGGTCCCAATTTCTTAATCTTTCTCTGAGATATTTTTTTAAAATGTTATGCCGAGTATTTTATTGTTACAGTAGTTTTAAGGATACATTTATAACCTTATATGGGTTAAAATTCAAATGAATTCCATGGTGCTAGAGGTTTTCCTGATTCACATTGTAACAGATAGGCCTTGTTTACGCATGGGAGAATAACTGGCATAGGTTATTGCCAATTATGTATTCTGAAATGAGTTTTAGAATGCAGTATAGTCCAATAGGTGGCTCCTGGGCTGGATCCAGCAGGGGGTTGGATTTTTACTATTCCTTGCCTTTGCCTCAGTTGACCAGGCTGTTGAGTTTGCACGGCCACTAGCCTGCTACTGATGCACCAGAACAGCCAAGTGCTAGAATCTTCTACAGTAGCCTTGTGGCTTGGAGTTGGAAAGGGAGGTGAGAGACTTGGCATCTAGCACCCAATGACTAAGATTTTTTCCCACTTCATCTATTCCAAAATGACAGTCCAAACTGGACCTTCATCAAAATACCAGGATAGCTTGTCCATCCAGGACATCACTTAAAATATCTATGACTTAATTACCTGTTCTGCAGTAGCTATTGCTAATTGATTTGTTTTTCCCCCTTGTCCTGCTCCAATACACAAGGCCATACATGAGGCTGAATGCTGCAAAATGGGGCAGCCACACCTCTGTGTGACTAAGGTGAGTGAAGAGAGTGACTGATAGTAAACCATGGCAATCACACAAGCACCAATCACAAGGTCAGAAGATTTGTTTTCTTTTATTAATAGGAGGTGATGTCACTTTATATATAGTATATATATATTATATATATTTTTGTGTTGTTGGTTTCAAATGTTATGCACTTTTTAATGTTTGTAAACTTTTAATAATGAATAGTGTGATTGCTTCCTGAATATATTAATCATCAGTTAACAAAACATCTTTGTGGCCACAGCTGTTTGTTTCTACCATATGTATCATAGTACTTGTCACCTGAAAATTTTTTGTGAGATATATGGAGGAAAAAAACCCACTTCTGATCAGTATTATGAGATCATTTATTAGTGTTAATAAAAAACAAGCCAGCCGTATGCTTGTGGCTCATGTGTGTAATAATAACTCTCACCTTCTAGTGTTTGGAAGCTGAATGCCTTGCTGTCTTATTTGCTGTCAAATGCCCTATCTTCTTGGTAAGAGAAGTAGTCTATTTGCTTTGGAAATAATGTTATCCTTAAACAATTCTTATTAATTTGTTTCACTTGGTGTTCCTTTCAAACTTAACACATTATTATTGACCTTTTTTAAAATTATTTCTCCCCCTTTTGCTCTTGCATTAAATGTTCAAGCTGAACTGGCTGCCCTTTGTCATGGACTAGTTACTGTCAATCTAGCACAAATGCCAGAAGGAAATAGGATTGTAGAGTTTTTTTTATAGTATTACTTTATTGATGAGCCATGAAACATCATCAGTAAAATGTTGCAGAAAAAGGCAATAGTGAAATAAGTATTTGCAGTATATTAAAGTGATGGTTTTCCTTATTTTCCTTCAATGCTTTTCTTTATTTCAGTATACTTTCCTTCTTATTTTGTGTTGTTAAATAAAATTAATTTCAGCCTTTCCTCTCTATTTTGTACCTGTTTTTTTCTGTTTCTCCTCTTTTTTTTTCATGTTTTTCAACAAATTATGGAGGCTTTTTGCTGGTTTTTGAAACCCATTTCTTTGTGATGGAAAATAGCACTGTTAATTTTAGTGGAGTAAAAGGCTATTTATGTTCCTCTTCCCCCAGAAGTGTATAAGTGTTTGATTTATCACTTGAACTGTGCTTGCTGTCCTAATTTTGGATATTTCTGTGTCATCTATAAGCTGGCCTCACTTAATGTAAACATGTGGTTAGTCTGTGCCAAGTCACAGCACAGTATCTTGTGTATTATTGTTACCAAAGCAATTACAGAAGAACTACTTTAAATATATTCACACCTTTACTTCTGTGTAATTGCATCATATAACCGGGACACTGATGGCAGAACCAGACTTTGACTGAGTTATTTTTGCTTTTGTTAGTTTTCTTTTTCAGTTCACCTGATACTCTGGCTTCTCTTCCAGTATCTTCTTTCTATTTTACTGTGTTCATTATAGTTAAATATCTGTTTAATCCATGCTTATCTTAGAAAGATCTTCCCAAAAAGCTATATAGACACAACAAAGCCAGGTCTGGAATATCAGCATAATAGAATACTCCTTATCCTTAAGGTTTGGCTTTGGTGGGATGGTGGTGGGTTTGTTGTTTCATTTTTGGAGGTTTTTTTACCGTCTCTTTAGACAGATGTTTTCAGTGCTTTGGTCACTCTGAAGGACCATCTCTTAAAAAGTCTCTGTATTCATGTTCTTGTTTCCATAATGAAGTCTATGATTATATTCATTGAACTTGTAGGGTTCAGGTTCCCTGTCCACTTGAAACAAACAGAACTTTTACTATAATTGGACAGATACTGGCATTTCTTTCTTCAGCTTACTTCCATTGATGTTGGCTACGTTCTTCAAAAAACATGTGTTAAAAGACAGCAGCAAGCACACACATTTGTTACTTCATCAAACAATCATTTTAGAGCCAAAAGTTCACCATGACATTTGATTACACAATTGCTGAATGTGAAAAAATGTCAGTATACTTGGTCCTCATCTGTGTAATTTCTCTTGCATTTTTTTCCCAAAATTTTGAAATGGGAAAAGGTTTATTCTCATAGGAGGGCAAATGGATAATTATCTGGTTCCCTGAAGGAGCAACTACTAAAGGGGTTAAGATGGAATTTCTTCAGTATGAATGCCTTTCTCAGCTAAATTGGAGAATTTTGGATGTTCCTAATGTTTGTATTTTATGTTTCAGAAACATCACTAAGTTTTATTCAGAGGAAAGACTGAGAGCTGCTGTTGAGACTGAGCACAGTGTAGTAACCTCACCTTTAACAGTTTGCCTTACCTCAGTAATGTTCCTATGTTGAATGCTGTGTTTTTGCTGACTTGTTACTTTGTTTTGCTCTGCATCTCTTTCTGGCTGGTTTATTTTCCTGTGGTTCCCCGATGTACAATAATACTCTAAAAATATATGGAGTGCTGTATTACTGTATATTGGCTGACTAAAGTCTTGTAGAAGAAAGACTGTTTCACTTAATCCTTTTGGTCAATGCACAGAGTGGGACCTGTTTCAAAGTTCTTTTCACAAGAGAAGCAACAGAGCCAGGAAGGAAGTATGAATTCAAGAAGATAGGCCAGCAATATAAGGAGGATATCTTTTCTTAATAGTAAGGCAGGTGGGCCCAGTGCACAAAATAGCTTCCTCCCTCATATGATGAACAGTTAGGATGTGCTGATAATAGCTAAAAAAAGACAAATTGTTCAACTTTAGGTGATATTTTGATTTCAGAACCAACTTCAGGTTCTCAACATTACACTATAACAGAAACATCCATAAATCTGTGGCACATACCTTTGAGACCAAGTTCTAATGAATCAAAGATATCTCTTGTTCTCTAACATAGAATACAGAATGCTCTTAAAAAGCAGAAACACTTAACATATAAGAAAATTACAGAAATAAGGGTAATGGCAGGAACATTCTTACTGTTCTCTACATCTTCAGGCTGAACATAGTTTTTCCTGCAAGAGAGTAGGGACAGAAATTATCAATGTGGATGCGTGTTAGCTTACTGTTTAACAGTGAGTTAACAAGATACAAACAAGTTTTTAAGCAGAGAGTAAAGCTAAACAAAAATATAGTACACTCATGCTTAAAAAAAGCATCCCCATCTTCTGAAAGCAGTAGAACTTCATGTTCTATCCTTTTACATTGATTTTTACATTAGGAGCTGCTGATGTTTTAGAATGGAGGACAGGACAGACTTATCAACACATGACATGTTTGCATAAATGATCTCTTGGTATTTTCAGGCAACACATGCTTCAGTACCCTGAAACCAAATGTTTATAAAAAGACCAGTGCTAGTGATGACTTGCTTATGAGTTCATAAGGTAAGCTTTTAGCAAATTGCCCATCAGTATACACTTTCAATTCTATTTGCTGTTAGGAAAGTCTCTGGTGCTGATCCATAAGTGTAGTGTGATAGCAGGTAGCTTTACAAAAGTTCAAACTGAGGCAGACGATCTTAAGTGCTCCCAAAACTTCTGAGACAGAAACATTTATTAAAAAATCCACACCATCTTCGGTAGGAAAGACAGATGATAAGTATTTTGTATTTGCTAAATAATAGACCTGTTTTATCAGTGGTTAATCAGTTAATGCTTAGATCTAGTTTTGTGGGGAAAAAAAAAAAAANAAAAAAAAAAAAAAAACAACAAACTTTTGAACCTGAAAAAATTAACCATGTTTTTGCATACAAAAGGATAAGAGAAGAAATTTTAAAAAAAGGTAGCTTGGCAGTAATTTATAGGAAATAGTGACATATCACCTAGAAGAGGTATGGGAGATCTTTGTGGAGAGATCAAATCTTGAGCAGCTCTGAATGTGAATTGATCTAGTCTACATTTGTTTTGTTGCATTGGCATGTAAATTATGTCTCATGGTGTTCATCAAACATGGTTTTTGCAAACAGATACACAAAACACTTTTTAAGTATGCACCCAGAATCAGGATTCCAAGGCAGCAAAGAAAACATTATATTTTTAACCCCACAGCATGCTAACAGATCCATTTCATTACTCATATATTTTTATTTGAAGGTTCTTATTTTCAATAAAAAAAAGGACAACACATGATTATGCAAAGAAATTTATCAGCAAAACTGCATTTTTCTTAAAAGAATTCAGTTATTATTAGGGTTCTTAAATGGCAAGTATCTAGCCAATGTGTATTAGCCATGTCTTTGATATGGGAAGCTTACCATTAAGCCTTAGTGAAATTTCACTGTTTCCCACTACTTCAGTCAACAGTAAAATGTCTTCTGTTACCCACATTCTTTCCAGTTCAGTGAGCAGCTGGCTATTGATTCAGGAACACAGGTACTGTAATGATATGTATCTGCTGCTTTAATATTTCTCTCTATCAATATAACAGAACATAGATGAATCCTTGGGGTCAGGATCTACTTTAAAATGTCATGGAACTGCCATCACTTGTGGGAATCCAATAACTGGTCCTGGAAGAGACTATGCTAGGTTTTTGGTGGAAAATTATAGTTAGAGATGAATATAAAATACCAACACTATGCCCAAATTTGGGAAGGGAGTGGGGCTTGAAGCTTGGGCTGTTACACAGGTAGCCTGAAAACCATATGCTCACAGAAATGTGGCTAGTAAATTAGATCTGGCAAACCTAAGAAGCTTTTAACATTTTAAGTTTTGCCATAACCCATACAACACACCATTGTATTTGGAAATTGTTTTCATGCTAACTATTTCTTCTCAACAAGGATTGTGTGCACTTCCTCAAAATAAATTGGTTGGAAGATGCAATAACAAGTAGAAAAATTCTATCTGACTGTACAGCCATGAAAAAAGTGTCATTCCTGCACATGACCCTCCCTCAGAAACAGCATCTACAGATAATGCTTCTGACTGTTGCAGCACACTGTCTTTTAGGTTGGTTGGAACTGGATTTTCAAGACACCCTGTGGAGTAAAACTGAACCATACCTTCTATCACCAGGCATATTTTATCAATTTTTTCTCCCAAACTGATGTTCAGATGAAAATAGATTTACTATTCACTTTGATGTATACTTCTGAATATCCACGTAGTAATAAAAATGGCTCTCCTTTAGGCTGAAGAGTAATAGAATTTCTTGTAGTTATTTGTAATTTTCTATGGATCTATATATATTCTATGCCTGTATTTGCAATAAAACTACACTATATACTTTCCAATTAAACATCACAGACCAAATGGGAATAGGCAACATAAAAATACTTTGAGATATTTAGCTTTTTGAAGTATACACTCAAGTGCAAATAGGGCACAATTTAAGTGTTTCAGTAAAAATCTTTGTTTCCACAGCCTCATTTTTGATCCTGCAATGCAGTCAAAATGTAGACTATGTAACATCTGATTACAGTCATCATTTCCCTAGCAACAGACTGATATCCTCACTCAATACATTATACAGTATATTTCAGAGAACAGGGCATGCCAGAAGGGAAGAAGATGGATGACTCAACAGGTCTTTTTCATCCGTAATTCTCTCATCTGTGGCAAGAATTAAGAACTCTCTAGACACAAACACAACATCCTTACTTGTTTGGAAGTGCAAACAACAACAGTGTATAATAAATAATATTAATGATTCTACAGAAACTGCTACTCTTACGGCATTATTATGGAGCTCTCCCCCCAGAAATAAAAAAAGGCAAGCACTCCAGAAAGTAATAAAAAAATGGTACACGGACACCTCCTGGTGGCACTGGGGTGTATTTTTAAATAGAACAACTCAAACCAGCCTATAGAAACAAAAGTCCAAACAGGCACAATAGATCTAGGGTGATTAAGGGGTTGAGAAAAGTCTTTGACAATCATGAGAGCAGATTATTGTAAATATATCTTTTACGTGGTTGAAATTATCATATGGCCTTATCTTTTGTACTTAATCTCTTAAAACACATTATTTTTCAGAACTTCCCCAGGCACTGCACCCGTACCCCATAAATAAGATTTCAATAACTACTGGAAATTAACCAGGAGTTTTAAAATAGGCCTTTAAAGTAGGCTTCAGTAGATGAACTGAAATCAGAAATTCATTATTGGTCGACCTTCATGCAACTCTGATAGATCTGAGGACAGCCAAAAGAATCCCAGCCTGTGTTCACCAGTCTGCAAGCACAAAATACTGTACATTCCTGGTGACATTTATCAACAGGAAATTAACAATCTGAGTATATTGAATAGTCTATAAACTTAAATAGTTATCATAGCCAAACCAAAGAGTAGTCAGCCGAAATTTATGGAAAGCTTGTGCTTAGTGGAATTCCCCCCCCCCAAAAAAAAACCAAAAACAACCTAAGAACAAAACACTAAAAAATGTCATCAAGGCAAATTCAGAAAAAGAGAAATTCCAAAATATTACAGAGTGTTTATGATAGACCTCTTTTTCCTTGTGCTATTCCCATGATCTGGGTCAAACAACTAGGTTTTAAAAAGATATGAAAAAAATAATGATATGAAAAAATAATGAAGGAATTTGGTTGCTGTTACCATAAGTAACCCAAGATGTTTCAAAGAGAAGGGGAAAATAGAAGACACCTCTGGTGAGTAAACCTGTTTTTTACCTTCTTTCCTAATGTCTGAAAGGTGACTTAGTGATGCAGTGGGTTCAATTTAATATCAACAATTTTTTTTCTCTTCACTATCTGGAATATGTTTCTTCTCCAACAAGTCTTGTGACCAATCATTTACTATTAGGAAACAGTTCTGAGTAAGAGAAAGCCACAGAAATTTCATTCTCTTTAAAGTAGCCTAAGTATGCTTTCACAGAGTCCATAGAATATTGTAATACAAATTATGACAGGGATGGTAAGTTGTTTTGCAACGGTACTTCCAAACAGAATCATACAATGGTTTGAACTAGAAGGAACCTTAAAAATCATCCAACTGCCCCTGCCATGGGCATGGACACTTTCCACTAGACCAGGTTGCTCAGAGCCCCATCCCCAATACTCCCAGGAAGGGAGCATCCACAACTACTTTGGGCAACCAGTTCCAGCACCTTGTCACCGTTATAGTAATGAATTTCTTCAATACGTAGCAGAAGTGTTGTACTTGTATCACTCTAAAACCAGAAATTGCTCTTTCAGTATTGCAAACACGGTTCTACTACATGCACAGCTTTCTCCCAAGGAAATGAAAGCAACCTGGATGTACATAGCCACCTACTTGTGAATCATAACAGTTGTGAATTCTGTTGGTTTTGTCTGGGAACACATTCTTCCCTAAAACTTCCTGGTTTTTCAGAGCTGAAAATGGTAGATCTGTCTGATGAAAGCTGTTTACTTTTCATATATGTATATGTATGTTTGTGTAAGTATTCAAGGACTGGAGAATTAGACAGATGCCATACCCCTGGGCACATGGTGTGTGTTTTGAAGGTGCTATATAGGACAAGGAGATTTTGTGATCCTTCAG